TGAAGGCAGAGCAGGTCTGAGGTAAGGGCAGTGTCTGGGTGGAGGTCAGGTCCTGCCTATCCAAGCATGAGTTTCCATAGCAACGACGCCCCCCCACCCCTATCCCAGTGGAGGGCAGGCAGCCCCCTGCCTGGCCTGGCTTGGCCTCGCTGCCCCCACCCATCGCATGCCTGGCTTCTCTGTCACCGGCGGTAATCCTGTGTGGTTTTTACTCCGCTGCCCATGAATAGAAGAGTTAGAGGAGGGCGGGCGGGAGCCCTTCCCAGGGCCTTACACCCGCCCCTGCAGTGGGGAGCAGCTCCCGGTCCCCTGGAATCCGGCCCGCTATGCCACCCACTCTTGTCAGCACCCGCCTTCACAGAGGCCTCCCACTCAAGGCTCAGCCTCCTCAGCCTGGTTGTGGCTGCCCATGGCTGGCACTGGGAATGCAGGCCTGCCCCGCTCAGCTCATTAGACCCTCCTCTCTCCCACACTTGCCCGCACATGGGCGCCCCTGTTCTGATGTTTTGTCTCCCCTCTGCCTGGCACCTTCCAGAATCCTTCCCACATTCATAGTCCCCAAATCAGCCACCAGGGCCTGTCAGCTCTCTGCCCTACAAGCCTCTGGGATCAACCCCTGAGCCATGTCCCTGCCCGTCAGCAGCCGCTGCCTCCTGGCAGCCTCCCCCCAGGCCTGCTCTGTGCAGTGACAGCTTGGGGACGTTTTTCACGACAGCTCTGTATGCTGTCCCCTTGCTGTACAGCCAGGCTCTTCACTGGGGTACCCAAGGTCCCTCTTGTCTGGTCCCTGCCAGCCTCTCTTAGGGCCCACCTTCCCCCTCCAGCTCTGTGGGTTCCACACGCACACCGAGCAGTGTCCTGCCTCCTGGCCTTGCACACTCTGTACCTGCCACCTGGGATGTCTTCTCCTCACAGGTGAGCTCCAGGAGACATCTCTGACCCAACCCCAGGCACTTCCTCTGGGACCCCTCACTCCCCTATGGTCCTCGGCCATAGTGAGTGTCACATGCAGGTCAAGAATGCGGTTTCAGGGGGAGCCTAGATGTGGCCTGATCTGAGGTGCCTGGAACATAAACCCTTGCAGCGAAGAGGCCAGTCTTTTGTATCGTGTCTCGGCCAGTCGTTGGCTGTGGGTGGGAGGGTGTGTAACTTCCCAAGGGAGGCGGCTCTCATATCTGAGGGCAGTCACAGGAGGGGTAGCTGTGAGCATCAGCAGTCACCACTCCTGCAGAGGGGTAGCGGGTGCACTGTCGGGTACAATGGGGTCTGTCAGGGCACCAACGGGCACCCACCCACCTCTGGCGAGTAGGGCTTTGGTAGATTTCTGAATAAACGAGGAGCAGGTGGATACTTGGTCCATCAGCACTGACCTTCCCGAGCCCACAGCCACGCGGCTGCCCCTGGAGAGGGTCCTGCCCGCGGCAGCCACCACTTCAGCGAGTGGAAAGAAGCCCAGACGTCCACCTCTCAGAGAAGCACTCTGAGCCCTGCCTCCTCATCAGTGTCTCTTAGTGCCCGACCCTGCAGATGGCCGCTTTAGCCAATGTTCTCATTTAGTCCTCATAGTAACCATTTTAAAGATGGGAAGACAGAGGCTCAGAGCAGTGACATGACTCCGTAAAGCTCATGCAACTTGCAAGTGGAGGAGCTGGGATTCAAACCCAGGTCCAATTGGCTCCTTGTCCTTCCCCCAGTGCATGAACAGCCTCAGAGCTAAGCCCCTTCTGCCCACCATAAGAGACTGACGAGTCCAAGGTCATCTCTGTTCCCCACAATAGGGCTCAGCTAAATTCGGGGTCCCCAAGGGCCACATCTGGCATTTGGGAAAGTTGGGAGGCCCATACATATATTTTGCATATCGTTTGCATAATGATGGCATCTGGTTTGCATGTGTCCACATTGAGGGTCCACCAGCACTGCACAATTTTTTTAAGTTCCTTCTAAGCAGCTCTAACTCAGTGGCAGTCCATCCTGGCTTTACAGAGTCCAGTGTCCATGATTTCTGGACTCTCTCCCAGGCCCTCACCTTGGGGCTGCACATCTACACACCCCAGGGTCCTGGAGAAGCCAGCGTGTGGATTTAACTGTAACATTCTTTGAAGCCGTGGGACTGTAATCAAAATGCCGACTGGGCTTTGAGTGTGCTGATGTTTATGTTGAGGAAAGAGGGAGCTGGGCAGAGCTGGCTGCACAGAACTTCTGCAGGTGGCTTTTTTTGGGTGGGGTGGAGCCGGAGCCTGTATCCTAGGATGGGTGCACCACCAGTTGACTCCGGCGTAGGTGAATTTCTCCCACTCCGGGGCTCATCTGTGGAGGGAAAGGCTTGTGCCAGGAAGCTAGCAGGGTCGGCGCTTTCTACTTCTGTCTCTTTTAGGGGACCTGCTTTCCATAAAACTCTGTGATGCTCTCACTGACTTTATGTGGTGGGCCTCCATAAAATGCGGAGAACAACCTGTGAGGTGGGAGGAGCCTGGAGAGGGAGAGGAGCCTGGCATTCTGGGAAGTACTCGGAGGCCTGGAAGGGTATCCCAGGTGAGTGGGTCACCACCATACAAACCTGCCTCTCTGTCCCAGGAGCCAGCTCTTTCCTTCTGCCCCGAGAGCCCATGGAGGAAGGACACTGCAGGGTCTGGCAGAGGCTCCTACACATGCCCCCCATGGTGCCACTTACTGACGGACCCCAAACACAAGACTTTATGCTCCCTGCCCAGGGTTATCTTGTCGTCCGATGGCATCCTGTCCCTCCTGAAGAGAGAGGTGGCACATGTGTCCCTAAGGAGCTAGTGGAGACTGGGAAAGTATGCTTCTGCGTGTGTGTTTAGGGAATTGGTGTGAGGTGGACCGAATGTGTCTGGATATGGCCGTGCGTGTCCCCATGAACAGATAGTGTGACCCTGCGCATGGCCCCTCAGCTGCCTCCATTCAGGTGTGGAAACTCCAGTCTGAGCCAAGGGGAAGGGCAAGTCTGCCTCCCGCCTCTGCCTCTGGCCCTGCCTCGGTTTCCTGTCTGGCACATGCAAAGTGGCCTCATCGTCTGCGGGGGAGACCCCGGCCTCTACCTGGATCCAGCCGAGACCCTGAGCATCTCCCCCACCCACGTCCTCCACGCCCACTGGGAAGGGGCCCCAGTGCTGGCTCCTGAGACCGTCCTAATGAAAGAGACTGTTCTAATTAAACACGGTTTGATGTCTGCCACCTGGGAAAGGGAAGCAGGGCCCGGCTGTCCTTTCAGCCCCTTGTTATGTGGATTTTTCCAAGCTCAGACAGGATCTAGCCTCCTCCCTGTGAGTCGTGGGCCCCACATCTGGGCTGGGGAGAGGAGTGAGAGGAAGGGGCGGGACCCCTTGGAAAAGGATCACAGTTCCTGGGACTGGGAGGGGGTTTCTTCCAGAGCCGCAGGGCAGTGTGCTGCCAGGCAGTCTGAGCCCAGCCGAGGGTGAGGGGCAGGGCCCGTTCATCTCCCTCAGATGCCTCCCCCTTTCCACGAAGGGGAAATTCAGCGGTTACAGATCGAGCGCGTGCTATGGACACTGTATCCTGCCCTCAGCAAAACGGCTCATAACATCTCTGTTAAAGGCCGGAGATTAAAATAACACATTCGGTGGATTTGCGGTGGGGGATGAAAGACTGTCTTAGCCGGGCATCATTTGGTTGCCGGGATCAGAAGCCCGTTCAAGCTAGCTAGAGTGGAGTGGGTCACCGGAAGCAGGCAGGGGAAGGCAGTCGCCAGATGGCCACTGTCTCTCGACTCTGCCCCACTCTCCTGGCGAATTCTCTTCCTCAGCTTCCCCATAATTCCCGCAGAGCAATGGCCACAGAAGGACATGACTTGTCCTCTCACCACCCCGCAGGGATCCTGTGGGTTGAATCATGTCTGCGCCCCCAAAAGTTATGTCCACCTAGACCCTTACAATGTGGCCTTATGTGGAAATAGCGTCTTTGCAGTGCAATGACTTCAGATTAGGTCATACTGGGTTAGCCTGGGCCCTGACTTCTATGGCTGGGGTCCTTATAAGAAGAGAGGACACAGGCACACACAGAGAAAAGGCCATGGGAGGAGGGCCCCGTGGAGACCCGGGGAGAAGGCCATGGGAAGACAGACGCAGACGCTGGAGTGATGGGCTACAAGCCAAAGACTGCCGAGGATTGCCAGGGGGCCCAGATACTGGAAGAGGAAAGGCAGGGTCCTTCCTTTGAGCCTCTGGAACCAGTATGGCCCTGCTGACGCCTTGATTTCAGATTTCTAGTCTCCAGGACTAGCGGAGAGTAGATTTCTGTTGTGTTAAGCCACAAAGTGTGTGGTAATTTGTTATGGCAGTCCTAGAGACGTTAATGCAGCTCCCACTGTGAAGCTGGGTCCCCTTGGCCTCTGTGTTTCCATTCCCAAGCCCAGGAGATAGTCCCACATGCCCGGAAGGCTGGAAGAGGGCATAAGCATGGATGTGTTTCAGAGTTGCCCCATTCTGGGCCCCTTGATATCATTGCTTTAGCTGGAGGGTGTGGGTTGCATCCCAAAGTCAGGTTGGAGCGAGGCCTCTCCAGGTGTGCTTCAGAGTCCCTTGCCTACTGCCTACCTACCAGCCACTTGTTACAGACACAGAGGATGTGGTCACCTGTGTGGATAGACAAAGTCAGGAAGAAGTGCCACTCCGTTGGATGACAGAAGCAGGATCCAGCACGCTCTGTGTGGGTTAAAATATCAACAAGATGATGTTGAAGGAGGATGACTACAAAGGCTAACGCTGGGGTTCCAAGAGTCAACTTCACAAGGGAAATATGGAGGAAGCCTGGCTCAACAGCAGCTCTGTGAGAAACACCGAAGGTTTTCTTTGACCAGACGCTCACCACGAGCCGGTGCCGGTACAGCTAGCCACGAGCTTCAGATGCACCAAAAGAAGCGGAGCTCCTTGGCTAAGGGAGACAGATACACGGACCCCACCAGGGAACCAGAGGGACAGCCATCCGGTGAGTTTGCAGAGGCTTAGCGAGGAGGAGTCAACATGCCGGGGAGGCCATCGCAGAGTTATCAGGTGTCCCGGGCACCTCCGGACAGTGACGGGTGCCTGGAGGCAGAGCTAGCCCACGAGGAAGGTCCGGGGCCTATTCCAAGGCGGTGGCTGAGGACGTGTTGCTGGCGGGCGCAAAACACGGTCATCTCAGCTCCGCAGCCCTGGACCAAGGCGGTCCCAGGTGCACAATGGGTTTTAAGGACCAATGTGTCGGGCGGATGGTGGGCGGCTCCCGAGAGCCCCGCACCCAGGCCAGCCCAGGGGTTTGGCTCTGCTTCTCTCCGGTGCATGTGGATGGGTGAGCGTGGGGGGCCTCCCAGGGCGTGAGGGCCGGCGCCCCTGCTTAACCTCTTCCTTGCGGGCGGCCCCTCGCGCGTCAGCTCGGAGCGGGGCGGGGGGGCTGGCG